CCCCCCCCACCCCGTAATGTGCGAAGACATGGCAGGCTAATAAAATGTAACATGTACTTGTACTTTTACCCCCTTCCCGTCCAGCGAATGACATGCATATTTCGCACGTATGCTCAATCAGTTACATGTATTATTATTATATCCTCAGTATTTCTACAGGAATGTAAAAACGCTCTATTAAGAAACGAGTGCGTTCAGGCCTATTGTACTCTTTTCCGGGCCTTTTCCGTTTTCAACGACGTATCTTTAACCTGCACGACATGCATACTAGACTCCAATCATCCACCAAACTCAAACATACCTAATAGAAAGAGCCCATAAGAATAATGATTACCTTTGAACGTATTTGTCTTTGCACCGAAGAGCACAGCATTTCGCTTGAATCGGCCATAATGAGAATCTCCGTGGCAAAGGCTTACTCACAAATTAATAAATGTTGACGCGAAACAACTTCTGTAGACCTCAACATACACAAACCGCTGAGTTCTATGCACAACATGAACTGTGCTTACGACAGCCACAAGGACACTGCAGAACAGAAACGAAGTTGTAATCCGCTCCTTACAACCGATTGGAAGGCGGCGATTTTATGCTCATGGTTTGTCTTGTGGGGGTTGTATTTTGTCTTTTTTGTTTTAGAGGGGGCGGGAGTTGGAGAGAGCAGGCTATAATAAACAGATCATGTAAATACTTTATCAACTTATCGAAATAACCAATACATGTATGTACATTTTTTTAATTTAGAAGGCGGGCTGCTTAGACCCCTGCTGCCAGTGCCAGTTCGGGCTGTGTGGAATACGGCACCCAAACACAAAGAGGAAGGTACTCTGCACAGTCAGGCAACCCCACTGGATAATCGAACTCCCGTCTTTGCGTACAACAGGCAAGGGCCAACAATTACACAACGGAAGCCAGAAAAAGTTGTGTAAATATCATTTTCATGAACGCTAACTGGTGGACTTTTTCCCAGGAGCTTTTTACAGACTTTTCATTGCACTTTTAAAAAAACAACAACACCCCAATAAAAACAAAGCCATGTGAGCTCGGACTACGGTGACTACAAAATGTATAACCGACGACAAGCCATATAAGCGCAGATTTAAGAATGAAGAGGTTAATAAGTCTATAATCCTAAGGACTTCCGCTTCTGGGCGCATCTGTGTTTCTGGGGGAGCACATTGGTAGACGTGTATACGTTTAGTTTTTTTCGAGAGGCATAATTTGGAATAAAGTATCGAAGAAGAAATAAACTAGACAGGGGGAAAAAAGCACCGTGGGGGGGGGGGGGGGGGGGGGC